TTATGCTAGCTCATGGTCACTTAGAGCCAGACAAGTGCATCTTGAGGCCCCGTTTCCTGTATCTGCTAAGGATGCCTGTGTTGTGTCAGTTGTTCTTCCAGTTGGCCACGGTCAGTAGACACACGTCTCAGCTCTCCCAGAATATAAATATAATTGTATTCAGGAAGAGAAGCCAATCCACCCCCAGCCCCCAGAAAAAAAAATCACACTACATTAGTAAATCTAGACCCTTTTGGGAAGTCAGGAATTCTAATTCAGAAGGAAGAGTAAGTGGTGTGGAATGGGGAAGAGTGAACACAACTTAAGGACATCAGGGAAGGTATCACTAAGAAAGTAGCAGTTTAATAAAGACTTATAGGAACTGAAGGTACTTGTCCACTTTCCAGAAAGAAGAAAAAGCAAATACAAAGTCTCCGTGGCATGTTTTGATGTATTCTAGAAGAGCTGGGCTATTAGGGTGACCAGTGGGTAGAGTGGTCAGAGATGAGGCTAGGAAGGGGACAGATCACATAGTTGCTCATAGGCTAGGAAAGGAAGTTGAACTCTCCCTGAGTGAAGACGGCCCATTTAAGCAAAGAAATAATCCCACCTCATTACTTTTTTTTTTTTTAACAAGATCACTTTGGATGCTGTGAAACAGAAAGATGACAGTAGTGGCCAGGGGGACCAGTGTGTAACCAATGAGACCAGCAAGGAGACTTGAAAAAGAATCTTGACAGGGAATGATGGTGCTTAGGGGTAATGACATCAGAGCTAGTATAGGGTGGTCAGATTCTCATTGTACCTTGGGATTTGGGCCGCAAGGAAATGCTTGTCAATTGGGTATGAGGAGTGAGAGAGGAACTGGAACATTAGAATAATGCTGTTGTTTTTGGACTGAATGAATGAAAAAAAAAAGGCATTTGTCATTTTCTGAAATGGAGAAAAGTGGATTTAGCTGAGATTAATTTTGCTAAGTATGGCCTAGTTTGGGGTGTGTGTATATCAGCCATCTGAGTAGGCAGGCATATCAGGTAGGCAGAGGAATGCATGAGTCTGGGCTCAGGGGAGAGATAGGGGCCTCCAGGGAGCTATCAGCATGTAAATTTGAGCTAAGATATGGGATGAGATCACCAAAGGAGTAAATGCAGGTAGAAAATAAAGCATGTCCAGGAATTAAATACTTTGATGTTTAAAGGTCAAGGAGATGAGAAATCCTGGCAAAGAAAACTAGAGTAACTGGAGGATGTAGCAACCTGTAAGCCAAATTAAAAAAAAAAAAAAGTTGGAAGTGTTGAAGCCTCCTCGTGCTTCCTCACAGATCAATTAAGGATTAACAAATGGATTTAGTAATATGGAGGTCATTGCTGACCTTAGCAGGAGTTTAGGTTGCAATAGTCTGGATGGATCCACGTGGAGTCAAGCAATATTAGTAGAGAAGAAAAGTAATGTTTTAATGGAAAGGAAAGAAATGCAGTGATAGCTGGCAAGGAAGAAGATGTCAAAATGGGAACTTTACATGATAGAAAGAATAACTTGTTTCAATGTTCATGAGAAAAGCACGATAGGCAGGGGGTATGTGTTGGCACAGGAAGGAGGAGGTTGTTAACTGCTTAAAGATGGGGGTTGAATCCAGTGTCTGAACTTACCTAGCAGCACTGATGTATCACATGCCAAGTGACAGGAGGAGGGATGACATAATTACAGGACCCGGTAGATGGTATCACCAAATAGACCTGACTGATGGTGTTTGTGAAAATGTTCTTTGGATTGTTTCTTTCCCTTGCTGAAATAAGAACTAAGACTGTGAGTAAGGAGAGGAAAGAGGTGATGAAGGCTTGAGAAGAAAGAAGGGAAAGTTACCTAATAACAGAGAAGTGGATGGAACTTGAACATGCAGTGTGTCTGGTTGGTGTCATCAAAGACTTTAAAATGCGACTTGTATGCTTGGTGGTGTTTCTCTCATTATGCCGAGCAGGCATGGGCAGCAAGTCAGCAGCAGACTGTGGCATGAGCAAGGGTTGTGGATTTTCTTTGTCCAGGGTATTTCAAGAATAGAACAAAGGGATTTGAGGTTAACAGGAATGTTTATGACAGTTGCCTAGGGTTTTCAAGTTAAATGATAAAGAAATCAGAGATTGGTATGTTTTATAATCTGTGTGATTAATACAATCACCAGGAATCACGCAGGGCAACTCGAGCATTGAGTCAGATGACAGCGAGCAGAAGCCAGAGCTCAAAGATGTGGGAAGTGATGAGAGGGTGGGTCACATGGCAGGGTCTGCTGGCCTGAGCTTCCGAGATGAAGGGTCTTGCAGAGGACAGAGGAGCAATGAAGGTGGAAGGTGGAGTGAAGAACAAGAACATCTCCCCACCTCGTTCTGGTGTAGGGAGGGAAGGAAAGTAGGGGAGAAAATCATCACTGCTGGGGATGTGATTCCTTGGAAGGAGTTAGAACAAAGAGGAAGGGGAGGAACAGGAGCCAAGAAGAGGCTGAGTATCTGGGGGTTTGACTAAGGACCGATGATGTGTCCCAGGGGTACAGTGGAGGGGTTTCAGAGAAGAAGAGTCAGAAAGTACCAGAGTGTAAGGGGTATGGGAAGCCTGGACTTCTTGGGATGACTTCACGTGGAATCCAGTGTCAGTGCGGCATGCCTTCATTCCATTTTCTTTCTGGGCTGTCTTGATCACCAGGAGTCATCAGTCACATGGGAAGGTCAAAAGGCCTGATGGAATTCCTGTTCTCTGAGACACCTGCTGCGTGTCCAGCTAGGACTGTGAGTGGCTGTGCTGAGGGCAACCCCCACCCTGCTGACCGTGCTGGCCTTGCTCCTGGTGCCTCAGTGGATCTTGAGAAAGAGGCAGGCTAACCGGCAGTATCTCCAGCAGCAGGGTTTCCCAAGCTCCAGCAAGACATTCATTCCCACCTTCAAAGCAACCACAGCTGCAGAGCACCTGTGTTATTGTTTACCTAATGATTCTCAGTAAATGCTCTCACCTTTGTTTTCTCATAGAAACATATTTTTTTTTGGCATGGAAACTCGTGAGAGGAAGCCTGTCACAATTAAAAAGTTAACTATAAAAATGAATACAGAACTAGAATGATGCAAATTTAAAATGTGCATTTTTGTTCGCTTCCCAATCATCTCATTTACTGCTTTGGGAAGTTAGTGAACCAGAGAAGGGCTGGTTCCTGAGGCTGGCTCCTGCTTGCAAAGCTGCCACCTGCGGCTTCTGCTTCCCTCCTGACACCCCCGCTATTGACATGCAGGGGATCCAGCCAAGCTGCTGTGCTGAAGAAGAGCACATGCAGATTGAGATGCCCTTTTCAGGGTCATAGCCTGTGCAAAGGCCCTAAGGTAGGACAGAACACTTGTATCCATGGAGTGCAGATCCCTAAGGGGAGGGGAGACCTCAGTTGAGGCTGCTGCAGGCAGTGTGTACTGGGTCTTATTTTAGGGCCAAGAGTTTATCTACTGGAATTCCTTAAGGAAGAAGATGACATGATCAGATTTGGCTTTTAAAAGATCCATCCCTCAGGGTGAGAAAAGATTGCAAGAGGTGGGCCCAGCAAGGTAGCCTAGTGGCTAAAGGCCTCACCTTGAATGCACTGGGATTGCATATGGGCACTGGTTCTAATTCCAGCAGCCCCACTTCCCATCCAGCGCTCTGCCTGTGGCCTGGGAAAGCAGTTGAGGATGGCCCAAAACCTTGGGACCCTGCACCCATGTGGGAGACCTGGAAGAAGCTCCTGGCTCCTGGCTTCAGATCGGTGCAGCTCTGGCCATTGCGGTCACTTGGGGACTGAATCATCGGACAGAAGAGCTTCCTCTCTGTGTCTCCTGTTCTCTGTATATCTGGCTTTCCAATAAAAATAAATAAATCTTCAAAAAAAAAAGTGGAGGTGACTGATTTGGAGAGATTCTCCCAGTATCCACATGAGATGTAATGACCTCAGGTAAGGTGCAGGTGACAGCAAAGGATGGGCAAGAAGAACCCCAGGAAGTGCATAAGAGGTGAGAGAGCAGGCCCTGTTCCCGACTGAAGTTGAAGGTATTCAAGGAGGGAGGTCAGGTGTGTATTCAGCATCTCTCTGACTGGTGTGTCTTGGACCTTGGTGGTGAGGTGCACAGGATGGGAGACATCCAAGCTGGCCCTGGAGGGGAGGATTTGTATGCGGTATGCTTTAGACCAGTGGACCTGGCGCTTACCGAGTGATGTTCAAAGAAAGATGGCTCCCGAAAGGGTACTTAGATCTTGGTTACAGAGAAAAGGTGGGAAGTAGAGATGGGAATTTGCGAGTCATTAGCCTGTGATTTAGGTATGATCATAAAGTTCAGTACTGTCCACCAACCTCTCTTTGTCAAGTCAGTGTGTGATACTTTCGACCCAGTCTGATGGGTAAAGACCGCGTTAATGATTGTATCTCTGAAACAGACAAAATGCACTGTTTTGTTTTCATAGTAATAATCAAATGCAGTGATTTTCCCCTCCTTTTTCCTTTCTTTGTCCTCCTCCCCCCTTCTTTCCCTCCTCCTTCTTCTCTCGCCTCCCCAGCCCCTCCCTTACTTTCTCCCTCACTTTTTCTTCCTCCCTTCCTTCCTCCCACCCCCTCCTCCAATTCCCCATCTATCACTGCTCGCCCACCTGTCCACTGTGGTGACATCTTGTGACCTTCAAGTGACATTTTGTATGGGTACATCACTGTAACAAAAAGCGCATTCTAGGGGACGTCTTGTCTACAATCCCACGTGTGAGGGTCAAGGGACAGATTTTATAATCAGTTAGGAAATGACCTTCTACCCCTAATTTTACTTGAGTACAAACTGCTAATAACAAGATTTGGGAGCCAAAGGTACCTTCTGAAGTGGAGTGCAGTTATCATTTATGAATATTTTCAATTCTGGGAGATCTTACATGTTAATTATTTTTGTTCATTTTCATTGAATTTTATATTATGTTTGTGCATTGTTAGTTACTTCTATTTAATGCTGATTCCTTTTGATTTTCCTGGTTAATAGATCACTGTCCTAGATGAGACATGGACTGTGTTCAGGCGTTACAGTCGATTTCGAGAGATGCATAAAACACTGAAGTTAAAGTATGCAGAGGTAAGTTACAGAATTAGTATCTTCAATTAAGAACATTCATCTTATATTAAATGAACTGATTGTGTTAGCAATGCCTCCTTTCTTCCTTCCTCCCTCTCATCCTCCTCTCTTCTCATTTACTTTCTCTCTTTTGTTCACTATTAGCTTGTAAATAATTAGCTTTAATAATTTATCTATCATAGGTAATTTTTAGACATTTTTCCTTTGGTATATTCTTATTATATCTGATTTACACATTTTCTGAAAACAAGATTTTCAAAGAGTCAATGAGAGTATATGAACTCTATCCTTTTCATAAATCATATTTTATGATTAAATAAACAGTGAAGCAGCAGATTGAAGATTGCTAACTATGTATCTATATATCTGTATCTTTGTGACTCTACCTTTCAAATAGATTTTTTCTAATGAGTTTGGGGTATAACTAAGGGCCTCTTCACACAGGGCATTGAACTGTATTCTAAGTGCATAGAAAGACCACACCACATTAAACACAGTAACAAATCATTCCAGTTTATGCTTTTTAAACGATTTTAAGTTTATATGAAGGGAACAAATGTCAGGCTGTTTGAATGGCCATATAGAGAATGATTCTTGGGGTGGCAGAGGATTCAAATCCAGAGTTCAGTTTTAGACATGTATACCAGACTTTAAATAACCATGAGGAACTAAACCTACAGTTTAAAGAGGAACCGCCTTATAGAAATGAAAGCCATTTTTTAGTTCAAATATAATTCAGAAAAAATCTTTTTATTTTTGTTTTGATTTCCAGCTAAGTTTCCTTGTTGAAATCATTAAACTCATAGATAACTCACAAAAGCCCTTCCTCCTAAAGCCAGGCTCTGCAGATGGTAACAGAGGATGGACCATTCTGTCAAGTTCAACTTCGTAACTTTTAATGACTTTGTTTTAAAGCCAACACTATAGCTTAATAATGAAAGAGAAACCCCAGCACATGAGTGTATGTGTTCCAGGAGAAGAAATACTGCCAGTGGTGATTAAAAACCCTGTGGTTGAAAGGCAAGCTGGACTGAATACAAATTTGGGGGAGGATATGCTGAGGCCACTGTGCCTTTTCACCCTTTTCCTTTTTCTTTTTTAAAATGGTTGATGAGCGTGTCATGCCTGAGCGACCTTGTTGGGCACAGTGTACTGCTTCAACCCTTGCATGCAGAGCAGGTGGAGCACACCCAGCAGTCAGCAGCTCGAGCTCCCAGCCTGCCTCCATCCGTGGAGCCTCCAGGCTCCTTCCCTCCAGCGCTCCACACAGCAGACACAAGGTGCTGCTGTGATGTGCAGTTGACCACTATGTTGTAAAACGCCACAACCTGTTCCCCCCATCTAACTGTGCTTGGGTACCAGTTATTCAAGCTGCATCTCCTTACCGTCCCCTCCCACTTCCCAGGGTTCACATCGGCTTTTTGTTTAACTTTCATTGTGCCTTTCAGTCACTACCACTGTGACCAGCCTCCTCATTCACTGAGTGATTACCGCATGCTGTGTTCTATGTCTTGCCAACACTGTCATCCTCATTTTATCAACACAGATTCTGAGAGTGGGATGCAGGATAACTTACCTTATGAGGTGAACAGGAGCCAGTGAAGAAGCAGGAGGTGTGACTTCTTGTTCAGAACCAATGATAGTATAAAAAGCAAGGAGGGGCAAGGAAACATGATCTCTGCAAATGTAGTAGCAGACCCAGATGGATCTCACCTCAATTCAGCAGAGCAGCATTGCTGCTTGATCAAGGCTTGAGACATCAAGCTGAAAATATCGGCTGTGTTTTTTTCTTTTTTGCTATAAAGTTGCATCTTACGTGCAGCTCAGCTGCAAATAGTCTTGCTAATTGTTTGTGGGGATGTGAGACCAGCAATATGTTCTTTAGGTATTTGCCAATCATTGTTCTCATTAGTGCTCATATTGCCACCATCTCCCTCTGTATATACAGTGCTGCACACAGCAACCATATGTTCTATTTTGGCCTGACATCCTGCAGATCACTTAACCTGCTATGGACATAGCAGCTTCGGAAAACGGTAGACAGAGGTGGACCTAAAAATGTCCTCTCATGGGCACAGTTGCAGAGCCAAGTGGAAATGTGTTTTATTTTTCTCTCTCCTTTACTGGACTGACTGAGTTCATTATTTTCATCAAAGTAACCAACTCTTCCTGTTCTCTTACTTGAAAGGGTAACCAAATATTTGGCAATAATGTTCTTTTTAATGATGCATATTAAATTTGCCTAGTCATTTAAGCCTCTAACTTCTTTGATCAAGCAGAAAAAATACTGATGATCACATTAGTGCTTGAAATATATAGAGTTTATGTTTGCTGATACAGAGAACCTTCCAGTTTTTTTTTTCCTTTCAGTAATTTTTGCTCCAGTGATAAATGACATGTTCATGGTAGAAGACTGACATTATTCAAAGACATATATGTAGAATGTGAACATTTGTCTTAATCACACCCTCAAAGATACCCCTTGCCAGTGCTCACCAGGCAGTCTGCTTCGGTATAACTCTATTCAGACCCACTTGACTCTCGTAGGCTGTCCCCAGCCTCAGGTTCCCCGGGAAGGATGGAACCATGGTGTGCCAGCAGGGTCAGGACTTTGAGAGGTCCTTCCAGCATTCATGTACAGTAACTCTTTCCTTGCTGTACCTCATCCAGGTGGGAGAGCAGGTGTATGGAGGCGAGATCCACCTGGGCAGGTGTGATAATTACTGTGACCTATCATTTCCAAGTCACAGTTGAGACAGTATCTCTTGTAACCTCAGCACAGAGTCCCTGGAAGAGGCGTGCTGAGTCACCTGTCACCTTGCTCAGTATGGCTTCCCATCACAGAGCTTTTGTTCTCCATCTAGAGGCAGCTTATCAGTACAAAGTTATTTTTATCGTGATTAATGTTGCCTAGTAATAGTTATAAACTTCTGAAATTTTATTGATGGGCATTGAAGTTGTTTTCAGGTTGTGTCATTGTGACTACCTCTCTGTGAACATTCTTGAATGTAGATCTATGTCTTATAATCTATACAAAATAGTTTATTTTTCTGTGTAGAAAATTGATAGTTACTCATAGTTCTTAAAAATTTTCTTTGTGAAAATCCGAGGCCATGAATGAGTACAGAGAAGCCCAATAGGCTGCCAGGCCTGAAGGCTGTCTTCTAATGGCAAAACCAGAATCCCTTCCCCACCTTGAGCAAGGTCTTCTAATCCCTCAGTGTGCTCCCCTTCAGGTATTGAGTATCTCCTCCTAGTGAATGATCTGTAGGCCAGCAAAAGCCCTTGTGGGATGCTTCTATGCCCTTGGGTGGCAAACCAGTTCTAACAGTAAGGAGCTGTTGATTATCAGATGCAAGATGTCTTAGAAGAGAATAGAAGTAAGGTAGAGCCCTTGTAAGCAGAATAAGGTTATGAATTGGGAGGTAAGAAGTCAGTGGGTTCTATAAAACCAAGGGGAATCAGACAGTGTAGATGGGGAAAAACAGAAGCCAAAGAAAAATGTGATTCATTATTTAACATGCCATGACAGATTTTTTCAATAAAAAGGAAACCAATGTTTTGGCCTCTGTAATACCAAAGAATACATTGGCTGTGATTGTCAATCATACTCCAAGTGCTGTGCCCATTCTGTTTTCAGATTCTCTATATGCCCAGGCAGAGTCCTCCCCACTGGAAGTGCTACATTATTAAGGGATCTCCAAATTGTTGTTTTATATTTTATTTATTCATTTTCCTTCATCTCTGTGGTTTCATCTGGAGTCCATTTAGATTTCCCCTTTTGTTTTGAATTAATTTGTCCTGTTGATATACTGACATGTATTATGCAAGATAATAACTCCTTCTGGCTCTCATTCTCTATTCCCCTTCATTGACCTTGTAGGGAATCTTAATCAAATTAAACCATGCAGTTTCAAATTCTGTAAAATGCTAATGCTACAGCCAATATGTAAAAGGCTGTGAGAAGCTCCGATAAAATGTGTTATTGAAAACAACAATGAAGTATTATGCAGCATCTGCTCAATAGCATGTCTTCCAAATTTTATCATGCAAATCAGTTCTGCAGTGCTCCGTATCTCTATGAAAACCATGTATTTTTGGCTCTATTAAAATCAGTGTAAACCTTTTAAATATCAATTATACTAAGCTCTCAGAGACAAAGTTCCATTAAGAGTTCTTTGTTTTCTCTGAGGAGGAGGTAGAGTTTCTATTTATGTCTAGAGGTTTACTTGTGCGTCCAGATCACAGTCAGACAGAACCATCAGCTCAGCAATGTGCTGGAAAGGAAAAAGGAGATTCTTAACATCCTACCTCTTTTACAGCGTTCATGCTGGTAGCAAAGACTAAGTGTCTCCTCTTTGCTTTTTGGATGACTGGTCTGCTGAGCTCTGAATGCATTTAGCAAAGTAAAGTGGCACAGGACCAGAAGGTCAGAGGGCCACTGGGAGGCCTGCTGCTCCTAGGAGGGCCCAAGGTGCTGACTGTTGTCTGACTCCTTAGAGCACTTTGGCACATTTGACAAGTCACTCCCTCCAAGTGAAAGCCCAGTGAGCACTGCTGCAGAGCGAATGTTTGTCCCCCTGAAATCTGTGATCCCAGAGTTGCTGGTGCTAAGAGAGGGGTTGTGGGAGGCAACTAGATTGTGATGCCAGTACCCTTGCATGCGAGTGGGATCTGTGCCTTGATTAAAGAGGTCTCAGGGAGGTTGGCCTGCACCTGCTGCCATGTAGGGGGACACAGAAAACCCTATTCTTCAGGCATAGGCTCTCCCCAGATTCTATATCTGCTTTCACATTGGTCTCACCTTCTACCTCCAGAAGATGGGTAATGAATTCCTGTTGCTTATGAAGTACCTAAGGTTAATTACTTTGTTATAGCGGTCTGAAAGGACTCTCCTATAAAGAGAATCACTTCCCAGGGAAAGTGATGAAGCTTCAGAATTGATCCTTGAGGGGGCCATTGCATAATGCTCTTGGCTAGGAGTGATTCCAGAGCAGGTT